TTCAGCCGGAGTGCTCCTTGGAGACCAGGATAGCCAAATTTGTGTCTCATACTTCAGACATATTGTCAGGAGGGACCAGTTGCTGGAGAAGGATATAATGTTTGTTAATGTGGAGGGTCAGAGAAAAAGAGGAAGAACCCCAACGAGATGGATTGGCAAAGTGGCAGCATCAATGGGCTCAAGCGTGGTAACAATAGTGAGGTTTGCCCAGGATTGGCAGTGTTTCGTTCTGCTGTGCATAAGGTTTCTATGGGTTGGTACTGGCTCGGTGGCACCTAACAACAACAGCAATAACATATGATTTAAGGAGACGATTTGTCAACAAAAGTGGCCTGATTTACAGTGAACTAGGTGACTACAAAGGAACCCTGGTGGTTCTGTGAGATAAGCACTATTCAAAACACCAGCTTCTCCACTGAGTTGGAATCAACTAGAAGGCAATGGCTTTGGATAGTTACAAGAGGTTTAATTAGGCCTAAATTTTGTGGGGGGAATAAAAGTCAGCATAATTGTCCACTGGATTGCTGACACCATGTTGTTAACCACGTGAGTCCATTTTAATTCATTTAAATGTGTCTGTTTCTATGGGATTCCGTCTCTCTTCTTCGGAACCTGTGACATTTATGTAATGTACCACGTGTGCCAAGGCTAGTGCCCAAGCTGTGTGTGTCTACAGTCCTGTTTCCTGGGGTCTATGAAAATTGGGGAGATCCATTTATATGCAAGGGCTGTGTACATGGGGGTCTGTGCATATGGGGGTGTCTCTCCCACAACGTGTCACACATGTGTGCATTTATGTGCACTTGTGCACGTAGTAACCAGTGGCATAACCCAGGATGAAGATGGTATAGAAGAGGACCACTCCATTCACTACCTTCACTGTGATGCCAAGCTTGCCCATGCACAGCTTCTGGCAGACCCTCTTGCAGGGTGAGGCACCCTCATTGTCAGACATGGCCACCATGCTGACTTCATCCAGGCTACTGTCCTTCCACTGGCTGTACTGCACACCACTCTCCCGAGGCTGCATACTGAAGGAGAGGGCAGAGGGTCAGGTGAGGCTTTCCCTTTTTCTCCCAGGTAATCTGGACCAGACTGCAGCACCTCAAAGGAACAGTGGGTACTTTTCTTGTGCCCTCTGTCCCCACCATTCATGGGGCTTACTCCCCTGTTTTTGATACAAAACTTCTACTTTGACAATTGTGACTGTCGCAATTAGTCATGATAACTGTTACTCACTATTGAATCATAAGAATCGTATCCACATTTATTTTAACCAGACCCATCCAGACAAGATGAAAACTATTCGGTGGGGACTCTTTCTTCCCCCACATACTCTTACACTAAACTCCCTCTTGAAACATCTCAACATAATAAAGACCATATATACAAAACCAACAGCCTAT